GTTCCACCAGCCAAACAGAAATGAGTTGTGTTCACCACCTCTTTTGCCAAGTAAATCCACACATTTTGTTTTTTTTTTTTAATTTTTGATGTAACAATCCCTTCGACCCTAGAAACCCTAGACTTAAGTAAAGAACTGCTTTCTACATGGCTGATGTTTAAACAAGAATCTAAGTCCTTCCACAGGCTCTGCTATCCAGCGATGTCCGTTTGTGTCGGCTTCCGGTGCGACACTCTCAGCAACTGCTCCCTCGGAAGAAACTTCCGGTGCGGCCTTTACCCTGGTATAGTGGATCCACGGCTTTACCCCTTGGACCTTCACTGCCGTATGAGTGGTGAGGATCACGGGATACGGTCCCTTCCACTTGGGTTGAAGAGGCTCATCTTTCCACGTTCGGACCAAAACCTCGTCTCCAATTTGGAACTTGTGGACTGGAGTATCTAAAGGCAGTGGAAGTCGCTCTTGGACATACCTGTGGAGAGAAGACAACACAGCAGACAAAGAGTGCAAATAATCTCTTACCCAACTTTCTCCTTTAACATGCATCTGGCTCCCATGCGTCACCACCGGATTCTTAGGATATGGCTTACCATACATTAATTCAAAGGGACTAACCCCCAATTTTGCTCTAGGGGCTATACACACTCTAAGGCAAGGGGTAAAGCTTCAGGCCATTTTAAATGAGTCTCCTGGCAGAGTTTAGCCAATTGCCTCTTTAGTGTCTGATTCATCCTTTCTACCTGCCCACTAGACTGTGGCCTCCAAGCTGTGTGAAGGTCCCATTGTATTCCCAGAGCTCGGGAAACTCCTTGGGTTATTTCTGACACAAAGTGCGGCCCTCGGTCCGAGGCCAGTCCTTCCGGAATTCCGAATCGTGGAATTATCTCCTTTAGTATCACTCGAACTACTTCCCTCGCCTGAGTGGTTCGACACGGGAAAGCCTCGGTCCATCCAGTCAAAGTATCTATAAGTACCAGGTACTTGCAGTGTCCTTTCCTAGGAACTTCAAAGAAATCTATTTGCCAGCACTCGCCTGCTAGCAGTCCTTGTCTCCCTGTTCCCGGTGGAGGTTTGGGGGAAGTCTTAGGGTTGTTAGCACAACAGACAGAATATCTTCGCACTATCTGCTCTGCCATCTTCCTCATTCTGGGTCCCACTACGATTCTTCGGAGACCTTGGGTCATGGTGTTGGTACCCAAGTGAGTGCTCTGGTGATATTCTTGAAGCACTTTACCGAGAATCAATCTCGGCACCAAGACCTGCCCTTCGGGCAAAACCCACCATCTATCTCATTGTTCCTTGCTTCCCAACTTCTCTGCAAGTTGATTTTCTTTTTCAGTGTACTTTGGGGGGGATTTTCCCTTCCTCCCCTATCTCTCGCAGAAGACACATTTGAGCCTTCCAGGCCTCTTCTGTTGGTATTTTCATGATAATCTTTTCATCTGAAAAGGTTAGTTGAGCCTGCAGCTTGCACAGCAAGTCCCTTCCAAACAAGGGCAGGGGACACTCGGGCATATACAGGAACTGGTGATATACTCTCTTTCCTCCCAATTTACACTCCATGGGGGGTACAAAAGGACGATGGGTCCGTTGACCTGTTGCCCCCACTATGGGGATCTTGGTTTTTGACAGGGGTCCTTTAAAATTCGTCACAACTGAATGAGTGGCTCCACTGTCC